CCCTGCTAAGCTAATTATCACTGCCTGCACTTTCTGCTTCCTGCCATCTCCTTGTTTATAATCCTTTTCCCACTCATGCCTCATGTGCATATATACTGCTGTCAGTTGAGAAGTAACTTCTCACGCATCAGATGAAATGGACGCTCATCCAGTAACAACAAGAACCACCACCACCAATAAAATCATAGTCATTGGGACTTTGGGAACAATATCAAGACATTTCACACAGTACTATAAAGCAGTTGCAGATCTCAGAAATCACACCACCATCAGAGCTACAAAAAATGGCAATATTAGGAACAGCATACATACTGTGCCAATATTTAACAGGTACTTAGGTTTTTGGTTAAAACTTGTATCTGTTATACTATAATACCAGTCAATATTTTTTAAATTTTGACCATGCCTAGTGTTTTCAAATAATGATTATTTTTGACCATGCCTAGTGTTTTCAAATAATAATAATATTAATATGCCATCAAGTCAATTCTGACTTACGGCAACCCTATCCAGAGTTTTCCAGGTAGAGAATACTCAGAAGTGGTTTGCCATTCCCTTCTTCTGAAGGAATCCTTTATTCAAAACTTGCCCAAAGCCACACAGGCTGGCCCTACTCACAGAAGCCGCCCTGGAGAATCAAACTCCCATCCTCTGGCTTCTCAAGTCCAGGGTGTAAAGATCTTAGCCTGCAAAGTGCTACAGGACTGTATTGTTGGTTTTGCTAGAATAGATCAGCCACTTTGAGAAAGAAGTGATGTGCATTCAGTGGAAAGAATAGATGCCATTTTCCTAGATGGGGCCTTGAATGGCACCAGTGAAAATACAGAGGAGAGATTCAATGGGGTTTTCCCTTTTTTGGGAAACTGTCTGGACAAATAGCAAAGAGATAAAGAATATATTTTAAGATTGTAATGGCTACTTTTAAGGTTGCAGTGTCCAAGGGTAACTTTTCTAGTATCTGCCCTTTTCCATCTCTGGTGATGATGCATGCTGCTGTTACACAGGAACATCTGGAGGCCTACCTTAAGCCAGCCAGCCTGACTTTCTTCTTTTCAACTGGTACAATACCAAGTTTCCCTCCAAAGATATCCCCAGATATTTTTCCCCAACAGCAATAGCACAGGTTTGATGCACTTCAAAGGACTTTGAAATCCACACTTTTCCCAGCAAAGAACTACCGCCGCAGCCAAAGCTTATCTCAGCTTGACTTTTACCCAGATCCCTCTTAAATCCTTGTAGTTCAGCTTAGGGAGGATGGGGACCGAGCGGAGTGCCTTGAGTTCCCTCGCCTCCCCCCACAACAATAAGGGATTGGAACAAATCTGTAAAGCAAATGTGGGTCAGCCTGCTTTTAAAAAAAGAAGTCTGATGTGACAAAGGAGATCTCTCTGCCTTTTTTTCCCTGCTCAGAATCTGCATCACATACATCAGTGCTTTTCACCAGGGGAAAAAATGTTGTCTTCTTTCATAAGCACAAACATTTTCTCTCCCCTCTTTGGTGCTTGATCATCTCTTTTTCTCTTTCCTTTCATTTAAATGAAGTAAAAGAGATCAAATGGTTCACTACACAAATCATCAGTGTTCTCATCCCCACTTTGTCTTGGCACTAATGGCAGGATATCTATTGCCTCTTTAACCAGCCAGAGTCAGACAAACCAGTGACATTTCCACAATGCTCTCAGGACTTTCATGGCAACAAGTGTGTGTGTTCGGCTGGCTGGGGGAAGGGCTTCATTCTGCTTATCTCTACACTCCATTATCCCTGATCATGCAAGGTCCCTATCTCCTGCATCAGCAGGGCTTGCTTGGGTGGAGGGGGCGATTGTGTTTCCACTTCTTCTCTGCTTTTAAAAGAAAAGTGAGATGTGTGTGTGGGGGTGCTGCCTTGAAGGCAGGGAGTACAGAGGATTCTGGAGAGCTAAATATAAAGGATGGGAGCAGGGAAGAGGAAGAATAAATTTCACAATGTACCTACACTGTTCAGGTTTTAAAAGAAAAATTACAGCCTTTATAAACCCTCCTTTTCTAACAAGCCATAATACAGTGGGGTCTTGACTTGAGAACTTAATCCGTATTGGAAGGCGGTTCTCAAGTCAAAAAGTCTGTAAGTCAAGTCTCCATTGACCTACAGTGCATTGAAACCCGATTAATCCTGTAACAGGCCGTTTTTGTTCCATTTTG